GCATTCTTGGAATTCTAACAACTTAATATTTGTCACTTGCAGAGTTTCCCAAATAGGGACACATCTAGACTTGTTGACACAGCTCTGTGGCCAACTCATTGTCCTGAAACCCCTGATGGAGGCTGTGGACAATTGTCACAGGGCCGGAGGGGTCAGGGCCATTACCTCAACTAAAGAATGAGGCAGCCAGGCAAGAATCTGAGAAGAAACGGACCAGCAAGGCCTGGAATTAAAGGTCGGCTGGCTGGGGAGCACTAGGGGGTCAGGCAGCCCTGGCTGTGAGAGCAGAGAGGAGCCCCAAGTCAGAGACTTGGAAATCCAAGGACTGACATGCACGATGCAAAACAGACAAGGAAAAAGATGGGAGGCAGCTACCTGAGGGGGTCAGGGGTCGTTGTGATGGTCTGATATGAGTGCTGTCCTGCCAGGCACTGTCTGATCTAGTAGAGGTACACTGCTATACCTGCAGGGCTCGGTGCCAAATGAAAATGCTGGGCCCTTTCACCAGAAAAATGCCCAAAGACTTTTAAGACAGCCACAATAGATGTGCCAGCAGATGGCATAGCAGTTGCATCACTGGACTGCCACATGGCGGACCACAGTGAGAGTCCTAGACCTGGCGTCTTGAAACTCACACTAGGCACATGTGCATGCATACCCAAGATGCCAGGAGGAGAAGGGATTGCAGCATGGCCATCCCCCCCAAGGGATGATTTCTCTCTCTCTCTCTCTCTCTCTCTCTCTCTCTTTCCAGCAAGCACACACGTCCTAAAGCAAAATCCTCACCAAAAATTGAAAAAAAAAAAAAAAAACAGCCACAACAGAATATTAGTGATTAAACAAGAGCCCTCGGAGGGTGGAGCCTTGACAACTACACAAGCCTAGGAAGCTGGCCCTGGGTGCAAGACTTAGGCTTGGGGTGGGGAGACGTGGGGGTCCATGGTGCTACCTAGGAAGAACAGGAAGTTCAGGAAAGACCTAAATCAGAATTCTAGCTGGGCCACCTTGAGCAAATGGCTAAGTCTCCCTGTTGTAATTTTGTCACATAAAAAAAAAAAAAATGAAGCTGATATTACCTCTCGTCATGGGTTTAATGAAATCCAGCATAGTGTCTAAATAATGGACACTCGAAAACAACAGGCAGATGCAGCTGCTCGGTGGCCGAGGGTCGAGTCTCGGCTCCACCACTTCTGAACTGGGCATCCTTGGATGAGTCACCTTCTCTCTTGGGCCATCTTCTCAGCTATGAAATAGGGATGCTGATACCATTCTCTGCCTCTGAAGGTTGCTGTGAGTCTTAACTGAGCCATGTCACGGTGAGCTGCCTGCAAATATCAGCCATTAGGGTTACCCCTTCCCCGGCCAGCCATGGCCACATGAGGGGCCGCAAGAGGAAAGCAGTTCGTCCCTCACTGATGGGAGCCCATGGAGGCTCTGGGTCCCCAAGGACTCCAGGTCAAGAGCTTCGTGGCACACAGTATTAATACTCTGGCCGCCTGTTATACCTGGTGCCGATCGGTGTGGGTGCCTACCGGTGTGAAGCACTGCTCTCGGCCGCTGGACTTGTCAGAGAGGATGAAACTGGCATGTACCTTCCTCCCTCTGCCTGGGAAGGTGGAAGGGATGGAAGAGGAAACTGGCTAGGTACAGCCCGGAAGGGGGCTCCCAGGTCTATGGGCCCCTTGAAAGGCCCTCTTTTGCAACGTGGCGACAGTTACAACTCAGCTACCATTTCTTGAGGGTCTCTACATGTTGGAGACCCCTCTAGACACTTCATATAAATGATGTTCAATCCCCTGCAGAAGGGACTATGGTCATTCCCATTTTATTGGTGAGGAAACCGAGGCTCTGCTTGGTTCAGGAGCTTGCCCAGGATCACATGGCTGGAGGGTTAGAGCTGGGGTTCATACTGATGTCAAAGCTCCCTTCAGCTCACCACACTGCTCCTCCTCACTGAGTGACAGAGTAACCCCTCACTTCCTGGGTAGAGGGATTGGGGAGGAAGCTCCACCGCTGGGCACACCACTGCCCACAGCCCCGCCAGTGCCCTGCCTCTGCACGGTCTCTTCCCTGTTCTCTCTGAAGGAGAAAGAAGGGAGGTGCTATGCATGCCTAGCACCCCAGATGCTTTAAAGTCTTGGAACTGAGAAACGACACCCTTCCTGGCTGTGTTCCTGTCCCAAGCTGGTTCCGATCAGCCACCATTAGCTGAGGGAGTGGTCACCCAGGGCCCATGACACTTGCCAATCTAACAGCTTCCTTTCTTACGCTTCACGGGTTATTGGCCTTCATTTAAGGAAAACAGACATAAGATGCTTCAGAAAATTCACAGTGGAACGAAAGTGTGAGCCCTAGGCCAGCCCCACCAGGCAGCAGTTCCGTGCCGTGCACTGAGGGCCGGATTCTGCATGGCCAACCACACTTCCACTCTTGGCCCAAGCAACTCAAAGAAACATGTTGGGCATGTGTGTGCATGCCCGAAAGTCCTGATGGGAAGGAGGAGTGGAGGAGAAGGGATTGTAGCATGACCATCCCTACACACACACTGAGTGGATTCTCTCTCTCGTATGTGCTTTCTGGGGGGGAGGGGGGAGCATGAGCTTATTTTTGTTCAAAAAACTTTTAAAATCCATTATAATTTTTTCACAATACTCATTTCCCATGAACTTTCTGAAGACCCTGCATTTCCTTTCAAGCATTTACTTCTGTCTCAGAAATGACCTTTCCCTTCAGGCACTGTGAGTCTCTCCTGAACTGAGATGAAAACCCCACACCTCACCCCTCTGCACTCCCAACACCTCACAGAGGCGCTTCGCACTGTAGGTGACCTTCTCCTCGTAGGGCCGATCAACACAGATAAACAAGCGACACTCAGACAGTGGGAAATGTCACAAACAGGTAAAAACAGCTCCAGCCTCCTTGTCCCTGAACAGCTGGAGGTGACAGACAGGCCAGAGCTGGCTGAGGGCAGGGGCTTGCATGAGAGTTAGGGCTCTTCTTACTACTCCACAGCAGCAGCCAGGGAGCACAGATAGGAGACAGACGTCTGGTGGGGGAGAGAGAGAGAGAGAGAGAGAGAAGAAGATGATGAGCAACGATGGACACTGGGCCTTAGCAACCCCCTATGTGGCGACATGCTGGGCCTCACCCTGACTCCACGGACACTGGCTCTGGGCTGAGAGGAGTCTCACAGGAAGGAGACTGGGGGGCCAGTGAATGCAAAGACGCTTCCTCGTGAGGAAGTCCCCCACCAAGCACCAGGACAGTGGGCTGTTCTTCCGCATTGCTGAGCTAAGGTGCCCCTACACACGCCCAGCTGAGCAACACCCTAGCTGGCCAGGGTCATAGACATGTGCCCCTTGTGCCCACGCCCCACCCATGTCAGGGAGCAAGGTACTTTCTGCCTCTTGCCTCCCCTCCTCCACAGCCGAGAGACTTCCAGAGCTGCCAGTCATGCGTTTAAAAAGCAGATCTTCCACCCAGCTCCGCATTTCACTTGATGTTTCTGTTTCCATGGCAACCGAGCCTCTGAGGCCTCAGCTACGATCTGGTATCAGACAAGGGGGACACGGGAGAGGCTGGCCGCCG